GTAAGGAAGATGTATCGGTTCAGCTTATGTCGAGGCTAAGCCAGGTGAGGTCAGGTTGTGAGCGTCGCCAACCGACTGAGGCCCGACTTGAACCAGGTTTGGCTTTTCGAACATTTAACGGAAAGATGAACAAAAGTTTAACAGATGCTGGATATCCGCCCGGTCCGGGTTCGATACCCGGACCAGGCGGATTTTTTCAGTCGCACACCAGTCACGTAGCTGTGTTTGCAGATTCGTGTTTGTCCTTTGTCCCCCTTGTTCCCCTTCTCCAGGGATTATTTTCGACATTCTTGTCCAGCTCGCTTGCACCTTTGCATTTCATTGCATTAAACACACAAGCGAATAGTCTTCGGTCGCGTTCCGACTGTGCGTCGCTTTTTTATGCTGACTGTGAACGCTGGCAGAATTTCTTTGGTGGATATTAATCTGTAAAATAAGACAACATAAAAGGCTACAAGAAAATCATTCTTATCGTTCGGATAAGATGCCGAAAGGGCGAGCTGCATTTATATTTCGCCTATTTCAACTTTTTCGAGATCTTTCATATGCCCGGTGACCGCGCGTAGACAGATACCGACACACGCTCGTGAACGACCGTTGCTGCCGTGGCTGCATGATCGAACGGTGCAGTGCCGCTTTATGCTCGATGAAGGCATTCCATGGTCGCATTTTCCGACCGTGCCCGCGCTCCCTGGTCGAGAGGAACCGGCATATGCTCGAAATCATCTTGTCCCAAACTTTTCCTCCTTTTTGTGCAAGTCGGGCGACACAGTTCACGAAGTCCAACTTGGTCGAACGTTGCCAAAAAGGCCGAAGGTTCGCCGACCCAGTCGAGGCTGGGCAAAAAGTTCCCGACGCCTCCAGTTCTAATCGAAAAGATCAAAGTCGGTCATAGAATCGACTCCTTGTATCCATTACACCCCGTTTCACCCGACAATGGACCGCAACGGATGTTACTAGCCATCGCAGCCAATCCGAAGCTCGGAGGGTGTCACGTGACATGTCGGTTGGGCGGAGCGACGCGTGGAGCGTGAAGTCCATTGTGTCCCGCGTCGAGAACTGGATTGGCTAACACGGCTCGTGACGTACGTTGCGGTACACCGTGAGGTCAGACCGAATATAGAAGGCTCTTGGCTAAAACGACAGTCAGAAATCCATAAAGGCTCGACAAGGGCCCATCGGGAAGTTACTTGGGCGGGCCGAACGGCGAGCAGGTGGGGGAGGCATGTCAGCCGCCCTTCCCCCCCCCCCCCCCCCCCCCCCCCCGCCGGCCGCCCAAAATAACACGAGGGCCACTCGAGGGAAACTCGCCGATTGTCGAAGAACACGCCATACGTTTTTGCCCCCCAATCTTTCTGCGACGGGCGGGAATACAGAAAAAATAAAGGGCACTCCTCTCG